GGGGGGAGGGGGGGAGGGGTGGAGGGAGATGGGAAATTAATGAGTTTGGTGACACGAATGCTTTCATCATCAATTTTGGCCTCTTTAGGTAAGATGTGAAATTATCAGTTAAGTGACATTTGACCGTGGTGTGAATTCTTCTTTACTAAACCCCCCAGCACATCAGATGGCATTGCTCTTCATTCTGAACTCCGAATTATTCTTCACTGTAAACTTATAGTGCACTTAAAAATCGGCTTATATCTGGTATTGCAGAAGGCTCTACTCAACTGTCAACGGCTATCTAATCCCCATGGTAGCCACTTTTAATGCTCCTACAATTAAAACCTAATACCCATCAATGGGTCCTCTTTGTTAGCATCGCCTAAAGTTGAATCGACTTTGTCTCCCATTATAAAAGTACCAATAGGTAGCGAACGAAGTCAATTACCTCCAGTGAACATCTATGGCGATTGGGCTGTAATCGTACATAACTTCAAAATATTGACTAATTTTTACCTTTTTTTACCTTATTTTAACATAAAATATTCTATTATTGCAAGGTATTTGATAATTATTTATGTTTAACAATAGATTTTCCACATCGTTAAAATGGATATTAAGGTACCAAAAATCGATTTTTAATGGTTCGACTTAAATTTTATTAACTTAATAGGTATTTCAAGTTCTCGAATTGAAATTTTATAATTCAACTCCTGGATGATCATGACTGTAAATGTACTAATTCGTCTTCATCTTGAAAATGCTTGTAAAATCAAAAGAAATGGAAATAATGTTAATTTTAAAAAAATAATTTTAAATTTAATATACACTTACAATTTATTTCCTTTCTCCAAGAAAATGCTCTTTTAGTTTCGAAAACAAATTGAGACGGGAGGTGACTTACCAACGGTGAAATTTCCTTTAATCCAATTACTCTTTGTGAATCGCCTTGGAAACATTTTCGCACAATGCTCCTGATAGTTTTGAGGACAAGCCGGATTTTCTAACAACAAAATGACATTTTTATTTTATAGCCCGACAAGGAGGCAACATTTACTCAACCATTAGGAGTGCGTACGTTGGATCTCAGAGGTATAATCTCTATCGTAATAACTATGATGCTTTACCAGCCTTCTTGCCCAATCGTCACAGCCACCAGAAGGGAGAAGACGGCAATCAGCATGTTGGAGATTCCAGAAGCTGCTACTTCCGTCTGTAGAGTCTAGTGAGGTGCGGGGGATTCGTCTCTGAGTAGGGGTAGTTGACGTGAAGGGAATATAGGGTCGCCATGGCCACACCGATTGACTTACGGATGGAGGTCTGCGAAGCGGTTGGGGTTGCCATACTGAGGATGTCGAACGTAGATAAGTTGGAGAGGTACTAGGGAAGTAGATTGAGGCGGATCTCTTGGGGTGAATTTGCCAGTTTAGGGAAGAATGATACTGTTGGCTTCTTGTCTTCTGCATGGCACATATATCTATTGTGGCGTGACAGGAGCTTTGACAGGGGATGTCATATATCTGAAAATTAACAACAACATTAACGAAGACCCTAATTAAATATGTTAAGACATACTAAGAATGGCCCTTCCTGAATATAACTGTTCTGCAAACGGAGGTGTATCCGAAATTATTATGAATGAAAAATGTGTAACTGGTAATTGAGCGGAAATTTTTGCGAAAATGAACTATCGGGCTGGTTCTCTATTCTTTGCGCTTAGAAAACTACACAGGTTTCAGGTATTTTGAGGCCTGAAGAAGAACAGATCAGTTAATGCGCCGCATAGAAAAGCGTTATCCGCAGAATTTATATAAAATTTTATTCAAATCTATACAATGAATCTACCGAAAGAGGGAAAATCGTAATATTGTCTCTTGAATGGAGCATCTGGGTCAAATCTCTTGGCAATTTCCTCAAATCTATCCTCTCGTCAGGGTAGTTTATCATATACAGATGGGGGGGGGCATACTTTTGAGGGTGTATAAAAATAGAGCAAAATTATTTGATTACTTAAATTTAGTAAATTATCATTTAAATCAAAGTTGTCACTTCCAGACTTCGAAAAATATCACATTGAATTATACATTCTTTAGATCCTAACTGGCATTTTGAGGGGTGTATGACAGACTTTCCTCCACGTAGTGCGCCCTAGATTATGCATACATATACGACAGAGAAATCTATAAACTGGCAGTTGACTTCTGACATCTAATTACAATGACCCCACTGCATGTCATATTCGACCACTTCCTCAGTATTCCCCTTACTTTTTTCTCTGCCTTTGTGTCTGTCTGTTTGTCTCTTTTACATCTCTTTCCTCCTCCTCTCTGTGAAGCCCAAAGTCAGCTAAAGGGTTAAATCATTATTCTGTCCACCCTCTCGACTTTTTGTCACTTTGATGTGAATCGCTCTTCTTTTCCCCTGTCGAATTTTTCTTACTTTAATGTTTCTCTCTTCTGTGAAACTCGAAGTCAGCTAAAGAGCTAATGATAGCTATCAAAAACCCTGCCATTTGAAATAAATAAATAAATATAAATTTTGAAATGCATGTTTGATTTTCAGAAGTTGTTTCTTCATTGTTTTTATTAGCGCCCACAACTGGCCTTCTCTTGATATATAACGAAAGCAAGAATATTGGTGTAAATTAATCACATCGATTTTCACTAGACTAAATGAATATTAGTGGGTATTAGGAAAAAAAATTTTATTAATATTTGTTTATATAAGAAAAATTGCGGTTATTTAGAACTAATCAAGTTAGGATTAGAGAAAGTCGTTTGTGGAGTTGGAGAACCGGTTAAGTTTTCTTTTGTCCTGTCGAAATCGAATTTCGAAGTAGCAGTTACTGGAGTTTTGCGGTCGTATGAGAGAACAGCAAAGAACTTCAAACAATTTAACTCCTTTAGAGTGAAATACGCAATTAAAAGGAAGCTGTAAGTACTGCCTAATCCCTCCCCTCCCCACCCCCCATTAAAAGTCCACACACACTGCCCTCAGTGCCCACTTGGCCGCCATATTACAGTAGCTCAACGCTCGTTCATTCTGTGACTAGAATTCGAGGATCTAGTCGAATGGAAAGTTGCCTCCAAGTGGATGTTAAGTAGAACTGAAGGGAAGGTAATTTTTTTATTGATTTTGTAAATATCTACTAACTTAAAATAAATTAAATTCATTTTGATAAATCAGTTATTATTATGATATTAAAATGGATTTCGTATGTTGGCGAAAAGATCGAGGTAAGAAATTTGTGTATTTAAATAATAACGTCATTTAATTAAATGAAAAAAATTAAGAAATACGTTACTTCTAATCAAATTTCAGAAAATATAAAAATAATATATATGAATGAAGACTTTGCTGATGAAAAAAGCAAACATTTATCAACGATATTTTTTGATTTGTTTCGATAGAAGAAAACAACCACGCATAGGCTTCTCTTTGATTATTGCAGCCCAACCCGATGTGAGCCAATATTTGGCAAAAATCACTCTCTGGTTTTTGCGTGAAAGGGGCTTTTATGACAAACCACTTGACTTTATCCGGAAACTATTTTCCGTAAAACGTAATTCACCAGTAAACATAGATTATCACGTCAGTATTCTTCCCAAAATGAGGTTCTGTTACGTCCTGATAGATGAAGGGTGTCTGACGTACCCAATTGGCACTTGTAAATACTGCGTTCCTTGTTTCGTTTTATCATTATAATTCCTATATCTTTTGAATGCAATTTTTTAATGCCCACTAGAGGAGGTGCTAACAGCATTTGACATGCATTGGGGGTAGGTATTTTGTAACTCCTCTCATGAGAAACATGTAAGCTATCACTCCTGCCGATAAACGGAATTGAGTAACGTGTTTGATCTTCCACTCCACTAGAAGAGAGAATATTAAGCTACCGTACACATTGCCGAGGAAAGTTTTAAATCCCCCCCCCTTGATGGAGAAACGGTGCAGTCGGATGTGTTTCCGACAAAGTAGTTTTTCATTCAGCGTATTGCTATCAAATTAGTCACACATTTCGCTTATTGAATATACATCTCATGATCTTCGTCCCCACCCCCCCCCCTCCCCCCTTCCATCCAAACAATGCCTTGGAAGATGTGCGGGATGTTATTGCACCAATGACACGACATGATGCTACTACATAGAATTGTGACTTTTGGCAGTTATTTTGAATAGAGTGGTAGCAGCTTAGAGCCTCCCTATTAGGCAACTCAAATTCTGTCACATGCTTTATAATAAAAAAGACTTGACCAGTGTGTTGGGCCATTCAGTGACTTTTGTGCCTCACTAACATACATTTCAATCAATACACCTTCGAGGTTCATAATTCGTCTATAAGAATTTGTGTTCGGTTCCTCTAATGTGAATCAAGTGGGACACCCACGCTTATGGGAATTCATTAATTCTGGTTTCCATGATGAGTGGACTTACAAATTCACCAATTTTAAGCTGTTTTTTACATAACTAATAGTAAAATAAATGGTGACATGATTGCACATTATTTTTTGGTGCGAATTTTAATTAATTCGCTTTGATAGTTAGAGTAGTAGTAGTAATTTAAATGGTCTATTTTTACATAAAGCTCACGAATATATCCTCATTCGCTTAACAAGCAATGCATGATACTACAAGTAAACCTCTTCATTTGCGACGCCCGATATCATGGGCTCGATCCCAAACGACACCCAGCCAATCAGAATGGAGTGGCTACGCATCGATTAAGTCTGGCTTGTGGATAAGTGGCGAAATGCTAGTTCCTTGCTGGTAGGACCCCAAGATCTCTATACCCTACCTTAGAAGGAAGTACTGAAAAGCTTTCGCACTGGAATAGGGAGTTATAAAACGAAAGACTAGTTTTTAAATCAGTATTGAATGCAAGAAATTACTCATATTCATGATTGCATTGATGTTCACTTATACACATTCAGTGGTTGGGGTGACATACCTACAGAGAAGAAGAAACCGACACAGAAAACAGCCTCTCTCAATAAGTTCAGACATTTATATTCAATCATACTAATCACACTAACATGAAAAGGCAAGAAGGAAGCAAGCTGAACTCTTCGAGTTTTTGGGGAACTTTAACTCAACCCTCGAAGTTGGAATGCTACTAATAACTTGTACTATTAGGATACAAACCCAATGTAATTACAGGTCGATTTTCAACTCAAACGATTGCTGTAAATAGCACAGAACGATGAATAGTCACTACTATAGAATATACAAATTACTCAAGCTTGAAGTTAGATCTGTTGTTCATGGGAGAAAATATTGAATTAGGTTTGTCAACATTGCTATACCATTTATTTTTTTGGCATTTACATGAAGTTTGCTTAAATCGACAGATTATTGGCTTTTCCTCAGTTTGAGCAAGTTATTTTTTCGTCGACAAACCAGAGAGCAAGCAATGTTAAGTCAAAAAATAGATATCTCATACAAAATCATTCTTTTATATACGATTTGATGTGAAATATCCCTTCGACTCTTTCCTTGAATTCAACGAAATCTAATAACTCTAATTTGTTCAGAGTAACTTAACAAATTTAAATACATCAAAGAAAGCATTGATGAATTTTATGCAATAGAGAACGAACATAGAAAAGCTCATTACACCATATCTGCATCTCCAAAGGTCTCAAATTGGCTTCAAGCCTTTTTTGCGATGGCTCCAAATGATTGATGTAAAACAAATGTGGAACTTTTGGGGTGGGTGTGGGGCTGAGACTGTTAAGTGCACAATCCCCTTGCAAGGTTGCACAATTAGAGGCCCAAACGACATCATATTTGGGTACAGTGCACCTGTTCCATTCGTGTGTGTGTGGGGGCAACAGTCCCCCACTTCTCGGACTGAGTAAATTTCGGGACGATGGGAGCCACAGCACCGAGAAAATTCTGACGCGACAGCGTAAAACTGCGAAAACACCGAAATTTAATCTACGACTTCCAAGATTTCACACTATTGGGCGCCTACAAGTGATTTGTGAAATTTGAGTTCCGTGAGTTGAAATGCAGGTTTGCTTACTTACTGACTAATAAAGGCAGGGGTGGAATGCATTTCAGGCCACTGTGAGACTGATTACATTATTTCCCATAAATAACGTGAGCTTTACTGTTAACCTGCCAGTTATTAGTGGATTGAACTTAAGAATATTGCAATCATTACTTATAAGGTGAAAACATTAATATTTAACTAGCTTACAAGATCTAGTTAACTTTGCTATGGTAATTGTTTTGGTATCAATCCATAATCTTTATTATCTCGTCCATGAAAATATGAAAAACAAAACTCTTGTTGTTTTACTTGTTGAATAGCAACTGATTAGAGACCATTGGAGTGGGAGGTGGGGCGGTAGGAGGGGGAGAAGTTGAGGTGATTCAAGAAGAAGAAACTAATTAAATCCGGCCATTATGACACCCTTGCGATGTCAACTTTCTCATAAGGAATGCAGCTTGCAATATACAA